TTGTCATTTCATTTTTTCATCTCTTACTATTAATATCTTACCAACACCAATAATGGGGGGGGGGGGGGGGTTACAGTTTACATACCTTTTAATCTTCGTATGATTACAGATCTACTGTAGTGTTCGAGGTCACCCAGACTCCCTCAAATTTTCCTATCAAGTGTAAGTTTTGCTGGATTTATTTTATATATAAGTGTAATGGTCGTTAAGATTCGGATATTGATCTTAAGATTTTAAGATCCTACAAGCGAAAAACAATCTAGATCATATTAAGATTTATCTGAGCCAAGATCTATGATTTTAAGATCCCGGCTAGGATATTAAGATCTTATCACGATCTAATCCTACCACTTTAGTTTTTCTATATAGTTGTACCTCAAAAATTCATTTATTCAACTTAAAATCAAACGTCGCGACTTGCAAGAAGTCTCATAGAGCATCACCACTTCATTGGTTCTTCTCGAATTAGACAAAGTACACTCATCAGTCATGATATTCCATTTGTGATCTTATGCCTTTAGTTATACATGACCCGAATGATCTTGTTTCTTGTTTTAATTAATATCTTTTCTTCCTAATCTTTACGGTTTTGAGCAAAGAAAATTATGGTTCATGATTAAGAAATTCAATTTGATTCCACAATCGACATCTTAATCAAAATCAAGTTATAGTGTCTACATCACACCAAAGACCTTGCGAGGAAATTTGAATATGGATTCATTTTGGTAGGATCTTCGGATCTTATGATCATGATCTTACAAAATGTAAAACAATATTAGATAAAATCCCGATCTCGATAGCCGTGGACATAAACCCTAAAAAAAATTATGCAACCCTAAAAAAAATTATGCAACCCCTGATTTTTTTTCTAGGTCTGCCCATGTTTGCATGTAGAGGTAAGGAGATAAGAATCTACACAAGTCTCAGATTCAAGTTTTGACACCGCCTTCCTTGCTATAGGGACTAGCAGACTGCATGATTTATCTCCTACATCACCACATGTTAGTGTGGGACTGGATCTACATGTTGAGTTGTGGAGTCCACTTTGCACTTTGACCTCATTGCCACTATTGAAACTTAGCAATGGAGTTCCGCTTTTTGCAGTGCCAAGGCTGCAACTGTGGTGCACTTATGATGTAATGTATGCGGTGCTCGAGCAACAGGATTGTGGTGCATGAGAAGGAGGTTTGTGGTGCTCGTACCAATATGCATGTTTCAAATGGCGACGTTTTGGGATTGGCCCACAAATAGTATTAGTGCAACTCTAGTCGGTATAAATAAATCTCATTGTACATTTGTAACCCTAAGCAAAAATTGTGTGTATGACGATTGTATTTCTACAAGTCTAATAAAAATCCCTCTTGTTCGTTCGTGGAGTGGCACAATCACTCTGATCCTGTAAATCACATTGATTACATGTGTTCTTATTTTTCTTTATATCTTTTTCTTGTGTGTTTTTCAATTCTTTATTCCTAGTGGTAGTGACGTGAAAATCCATAAGTGGTATCCCACCTTCAAGCACAAACATCACATTCCTTGCTTTAAGCATCTTGTGATTTACTTTTTTTATACAAGTTATAAATATAAATGATTTTTGCAATTTTGTTCCTAAAAATAGTCATTTACTTAGATCAGAACAAAAAATTGTTTGTGAAACCTTAAATAAAAACCAAATTTGTAAGAGAATATGTTTCATCACCAAAAACTAAGAAAATCGGCTATACTCAAAAACCAAAAACAAAATTTATGCATGGTTTTATAATCTTTATTTAATAAAACTTATTAATTAATAAAAAATCTTAACAAAATTTTATTCCAATCAAACACACATTTCTTTATTTTATTATAAAATACAAAAGGAAAAAACTTACTATTCTTCAAAAATACAAAAAACCTTGGTTACTTACCAAGTTTGGTAGGCATACGTGACCCAAAACTTATTGGATTATAAAAGTGCAAATAGCAAAAAAATATCATTATGTTATCATAAAATTTTGATTTTGACACTGAGTTATTTTTTCTCAATTATGTCACTATATTTACAATTTTGTTGCAATATCAACAAAATGACCGGTTTTCCATGTTCTCACAGCAACCATTTTTTGCGAATTGCAATAAAGTCACTAAGTTTACCAAAATTTCGATTTTGACATCGAGTTTCAAATTGCAAGAAAGTCACTATATTACCACAAAATTTCGATTTAACACTGAATTTTTATTTTCTCAATTATATCATTACATTTACAATTTTGTTGCAATCTCAATCAATTGAATGATTCAGGAAATGTTATTGTGGTTTAAAAGCTCGATTTGTATAACAAACAAATGAAGGTAGGTCCAACGGTTCAAACTCACTTACAAGTCAACAAAAATCCCTCTTGTTCGTTCGTGGAGTGGCACAATCACTCTGATCCTGTAAATCACATTGATTACATGTGTTCTTATTTTTCTTTATATCTTTTTCTTGTGTGTTTTTCAATTCTTTATTCCTAGTGGTAGTGACGTGAAAATCCATAAGTGGTATCCCACCTTCAAGCACAAACATCACATTCCTTGCTTTAAGCATCTTGTGATTTACTTTTTTTATACAAGTTATAAATATAAATGATTTTTGCAATTTTGTTCCTAAAAATAGTCATTTACTTAGATCAGAACAAAAAATTGTTTGTGAAACCTTAAATAAAAACCAAATTTGTAAGAGAATATGTTTCATCACCAAAAACTAAGAAAATCGGCTATACTCAAAAACCAAAAACAAAATTTATGCATGGTTTTATAATCTTTATTTAATAAAACTTATTAATTAATAAAAATCTTAACAAAATTTTATTCCAATCAAACACACATTTCTTTATTTTATTATAAAATACAAAAGGAAAAAACTTACTATTCTTCAAAAATACAAAAAACCTTGGTTACTTACCAAGTTTGGTAGGCATACGTGACCCAAAACTTATTGGATTATAAAAAGTGCAAATAGCAAAAAAATATCATTATGTTATCATAAAATTTTGATTTTGACACTGAGTTATTTTTTCTCAATTATGTCACTATATTTACAATTTTGTTGCAATATCAACAAAATGACCGGTTTTCCATGTTCTCCCAGCAACCATTTTTTGCGAATTGCAATAAAGTCACTAAGTTTACCAAAATTTCGATTTTGACATCGAGTTTCAAATTGCAAGAAAGTCACTATATTACCACAAAATTTCGATTTAACACTGAATTTTTATTTTCTCAATTATATCATTACATTTACAATTTTGTTGCAATCTCAATCAATTGAATGATTCAGGAAATGTTATTGTGGTTTAAAAGCTCGATTTGTATAACAAACAAATGAAGGTAGGTCCAACGGTTCAAACTCACTTACAAGTCAACAAAAATCCCTCTTGTTCGTTCGTGGAGTGGCACAATCACTCTGATCCTGTAAATCACATTGATTACATGTGTTCTTATTTTTCTTTATATCTTTTTCTTGTGTGTTTTTCAATTCTTTATTCCTAGTGGTAGTGACGTGAAAATCCATAAGTGGCATCCCACCTTCAAGCACAAACATCACATTCCTTGCTTTAAGCATCTTGTGATTTACTTTTTTATACAAGTTATAAATATAAATGATTTTTGCAATTTTGTTCCTAAAAATAGTCATTTACTTAGATCAGAACAAAAAATTGTTTGTGAAACCTTAAATAAAAACCAAATTTGTAAGAGAATATGTTTCATCACCAAAAACTAAGAAAATCGGCTATACTCAAAAACCAAAAACAAAATTTATGCATGGTTTTATAATCTTTATTTAATAAAACTTATTAATTAATAAAAAATCTTAACAAAATTTTATTCCAATCAAACACACATTTCTTTATTTTATTATAAAATACAAAAGGAAAAAACTTACTATTCTTCAAAAATACAAAAAACCTTGGTTACTTACCAAGTTTGGTAGGCATACGTGACCCAAAACTTATTGGATTATAAAAAGTGCAAATAGCAAAAAAATATCATTATGTTATCATAAAATTTTGATTTTGACACTGAGTTATTTTTTCTCAATTATGTCACTATATTTACAATTTTGTTGCAATATCAACAAAATGACCGGTTTTCCATGTTCTCCCAGCAACCATTTTTTGCGAATTGCAATAAAGTCACTAAGTTTACCAAAATTTCGATTTTGACATCGAGTTTCAAATTGCAAGAAAGTCACTATATTACCACAAAATTTCGATTTAACACTGAATTTTTATTTTCTCAATTATATCATTACATTTACAATTTTGTTGCAATCTCAATCAATTGAATGATTCAGGAAATGTTATTGTGGTTTAAAAGCTCGATTTGTATAACAAACAAATGAAGGTAGGTCCAACGGTTCAAACTCACTTACAAGTCAACAAAAAAGACATAGTCACCCTTTCAGGAGATGTTATTGTGGTTTAGAAGCTTGATTTGTACAAAAAATAAATGAAGACCCCTAGAAGGTCGATTTAGTGGTTCAAACTCACTAAGCATCTCCTAGATCGACCTTGTAGGGGTCTTCATATATTTGTTCTACAAATCAAACTTCTAATCAAAATGTAATGACATAATGGAGAAAAAAAACTCGATGTTAAAATCAAAATTTTGTGGTAATATAGTAACTTTCTTGCAATTTGAAACTTAGTGTCAAAATCAAAATTTTGGTAAACTTAATGACTTTATTGCAATTCGGAAAAAATGGTTACCGGGAGAACAAGGGTAACCGGTCATTTGGTTAATATTGCAACAAAACTGTAAATACAATGACATAATTGAGAAAAAAATAATAGTAACTCAATGTCAAAATCAAAATTCTATATATTATAATGACTTTTTGCTATTTGGCCTTATAAAATTATCGAAGTGACTTAACGGTTATTTGCTAATAATTTTGATTCATGCAATAAAGTAATAATAATAATAATAATAGAAGTCCATAAATAGAAGTTCTTATTGACTGAATCATTAAGACCCATAATAATACTCTTGTCTCTTCAAGAATACAACCAAATAATTAAAAAGTCAAAAGAATGCCCCTCAAAACTACATTGCTATTTCTTACCCTAAATTAAAATAAACCAAAACATCAACACACCCATCCCTCTATTTCCAATTCTTTTTCCTCTTAAATAATGTTATAACCTCCAACTTCATTAACCCAAAGACTCATCTTCCTTACTCCTTACATCAATCACTCAAGCTTCCATTAACCACAATCGATTCACTTTCCACCGATGATATCAAACCATTATTCTTGAAGCAATGTTTCTCTTTGCCAGGTGTCAAATCCCCATTGGCCTGTTCCTTTTCACCAAGGGCATTCTCGTCTTTCTTGGTATTATTTAGAATTTTCCGAGGTCGTTTCCCGAAGAATCCCGGGGAGATTAGCGGTTTCAATTTTGAAGAATTTGTCTTCAACAGTTTCGCGGAATCGTCCTCCAGAATGGAATCGGATTTTCCGGGATCGCATTCCAAAGTTACGGATTCCATTCCGTTTCCGTTGACATGAACAGAATCAGGCTTTTTTGTTATATCGGTTTCGTTAGGGCAAACCACTGGTGGCGGTTCGGTATCTTCAACCGGAAAAGTGGCGGTCCGGTCGCCGGAATCCTTACAGTTTCCGGCAAGATCTCCGGCATCCACTGAAACAGGGGAATTGGGGTTTGAATCTGGTGTATCGATGTCCATGGTAGGGTCGGATGAGTTTTGAGACATGGAAATTGGTGACAAAGGATTATTAGAATTATTGTTAGTAGGATCAATGGATTCTGCAGCCAATGAGCATTCGACAGGTGTCTTTTGTTGGGAGGAATTCGGTGTTTCAAGCTCTTCTTTTCTAGAAGTTTCCTTGATTGGATTTAAGCATGATTCTCTGGCAGAGACCCTGAAAAAGACTGTTGCTTTAGTCAACTGAATGACAGTAAATGACCATTTTACCCTTCTGTATGGAATTAATGTTGAATAAGAAATTACTACCTATTTTATAACTGTTACAAAACGTCAATTCTAAATAACAAAGAATATATAAAAAAAATTATGTAACACTTATTAATTAATGATATTTGATATATAATAATGATATAGATTCAATTAACTTAATCACAAAATCTCACATTACAATTAAAGTTTAGACTTTTCCCAGAAAGATGCAATGTTGACTTGACATATAACTAAAATCAATTTCCCATAATATCTTGTAATAATTGCTAATGGGCAAAATGGTAAATTCTCAGTCCCTATCTTGTCAAGTCAGAATTTGCATATATATATAAACATGCTTCACTTTCTAGTTTTCAGATAGAGACTTCAGAGTGGCTTATACGTAATAAAGTCGGGCTAAAAGTGTGTTTGGAATACTTTTTAAGTTATTTCCATATTTCCACAAACTCGTTTTTCTCAAGTAATTTTGGAAGTGTAACAGTAAATCTTAGAGAATATGATTATTGAAATAGGGCAAAACAGTAAATTAGACAAATACTAAAGCTGGAAAACACTACCTGTTATACAGAAGCATATAGGCCCCTTGAGAGAGCACTTCATCCAGTTCAACTGTATCCACCTGCAAGAAATACGTATAAGTAAATTTTAAGTCAATCGAGAATTTTAATACTTGTATGAATGACATAAACAGATAACACCATGCATACTATGCATTTCAAGAATAGAAGTTGGGTAATTATAAGAGAGAGAGAGAGAGAGAGAGAGAGAGAGAGAGAGAGAGAATGGACCTTGCAATCATCAATTCTATACCAATTTCCAGAAAAGTCCTTGGTATAACAAACGTAATGACCAAAATATGATGCATTGAGCATATCAACATGGACAACAACTGCATATAGCCTGTATTTATCATTTCCATCTGCAGCTTCACTCATGTAAGGACTAAGATCCAAAGTCTCAGGGAATGTCACCCTCTTATTAAGTTTCCCAAATCTTCCACTCTTCACAAAAAAAAAAAAAAATAATAATAATAAATAAAGGATTCCCCAAATCAATAATCAATATCATTACAGAAGTGTATTTGCAAAAAGGTAACTCCAATTTCACAAACCTGAAACCTCTTTAATGCAATTGTAAGAATATTTGGAGGCATATGAATGCTTAGGCGTTTCCATGCTAACACATACTCATTACATCTGCAAAACAAGAAATGAGTCCAAGAAGAAAATAAAGTTGATAATGAAAAAAAAGAAAAGAAAAAGAAAATTACCCATCACATTTGTACATATTATCTCCTTCAAGCCATTCTTTTGCTGTAAATTGGTCTAAGCATTCCTCAAGAGATGCAGCATCTCCTTGAATTTCCACAGTCAAATCCATCATATTTTCAAACTGGTTTGACACGTTATTGCATTTTGTACATATCACCTTTAAAAACATTAGAGATAAATGTTAGCCTTTAAAAATATAAAAAATGGGAATTAATGGGAATAATAATATAAAGATGATACCTGAGATTGGAGGCGACCCCCAAATATATGTTGAATAAGAGTTGTCTCTTGAGAAGTAGGATGCACTGCTCTTTCACCACCATATTCATCAAGACAAACTGATTGCATTGTATCAATTACAAACCTAACATATGTTAAAAAGTTTTGTAATCAGTAATCATATTATCATATAAAAAGAGTTGAACTTTTTCAAAGTTATGTAAAAAGCATAGAAACCTCATGAACTCATGGGCATCCTCCTGTTTTCCATAGCCAAGATTTCCACCAATATTAGGCAATCTTGATAAAATATTGATTGGTGAAAAAGCATGGTGACTTTGGCTAGCTCTTTCCACATGAGCTTGAAGTTCACACAAGAAACACCAATCATTTCTCCTGCCTGATAAACAAAGGTGTCAAAAGTTTTCTGATAAATTATTATGTATTTGTGTGTGTGTGTGTGTGTGAGAGAGAGAGAGAGAGTAGCAATTACATTCCCTACGATGGCCTTTCTCCAACAAATAGGCAGCAAGTGGTCGAGTGTATGCTAAACATTGTAATACTACATTGGCAAAGCAGCTGTGAAAAGAAACACAACCATTACATAAACGGGTTGACCTTAAAGTTGACCAAATAACATGAACAGAAGAAAACAAATGGATGCACCTGTTTCCACAATTGAGAAGCCCACAAGGGGGGAAGCCTTGTTTCTTCCAGTTGAATAGCTCCACAAATTTGTCATAGGGGAAAAGAATCTGAAAGCAAAAAAGTTTGACTGAATATTAGCTATGATATGATCAAAATCAATTAGGTCAAGAAAACAGACATCAATTTTGGACCTTTTTTATTTGGGTAGAATTCCCTGTGCTAGAAACTAGTGTAATCCCAGTAGGGTTTCTCCTTCCTTGCAAACTTGATTTGCTAGACAGCCGAATTTCTTCACATTTTTCCTTGTGCCCAGAGAACCAATGAGATCTTTGACATGATTCTGAGCTGAAAGATGATAAAAAAGAGATTAAGACTAAAGCAAAAAAGAAGAAAAGAAGAAAATACAAAACAATTGAAAGGTTTTGGAGCACTAAAAGAGGTAATCAGCCACTAGGAACCTGCCATAGCCTATAATTATCAAGGAATTACTTCATAACATAGATATACGATAGGGAATGTACACTAAAGATTAAATTTTTTGCTTGATTAATTCAACAGAATTGGACGACCTAAAATAAGAACAAGAACAGTATACCAATAACATATCATAATTCAACAAAATAGATAGAAACATAAAGACGAATTAGCGTCTATGATGGAGAATGTTGTATAATAATGAATAAAAAACCAATATCAACAGTGCGTATGTACCAGTATCGGACCCCTTTGCATCGGGAACAATATTTCTTCGTCAAGCTACCGCAGACAACGCATGAGTCACTGATTGCAACAATACCCGGCATCGACGACGACGACGAAGGGGATACAATAGAGTCGGATGAAGCGGTGGGAGAAGAAGATTGAGAATGGGAATCGAAACGGGCGTCGTCGTCTCCGTCAACAACGAAGTACTTGGCAGCAGTGTTCTTCACTAGGTAAATCAATCCAAAGAGAACAGCGAAAGCTGTGATGCCGAACTTAAGATACCAATTGAGATCCAGCGAATTATATTCATGCATCGACGACGATTCTGCTGATTCTTATTTGAATTATTAGGGTTTTTCATCGATGATTCATTAGAAATTGTGGCCAAGAAACAGCACACCCTTGTACTAGTAGTCTACTGGTGATCGAATTCGATACGAATCAGGAAACTTTGAGGGGTTTCCTTCTCACGATCGTTCGTTTTGTCGAATAAGCTCTTGAGATTTCTTCCGATAATCATGGAATGGCTGCATTGCCAAACCCAAAGGGAAAACAAACTAGAAAATAAATAATGGCGACGACGTCGTAACAGTCCTACCAATTATGTTTATTAAATATCGGAAGGGGAATAACATTTATTCGGGGATAAACAATCGAAAGTAAAATCTATTAATAGTAAAAAAGATAATAATTGAACAACATCAAACCACTCACCTACAACATAATGATCTTATTTTGAATCTAGACAAATTGTATTTTTTATTTTTTGTTAAATTTAATAGAGATCGAAATAGAATTCATTTTTTTCTAAAAGAAATTAAATATCTTTTTATATTTTATTTCTAACTATCTACTTATCTATGTTAAATTGAGGCAAGTGTATTGAAGTATTATTAATTTCATTAAATGTGACACATGTTTAACATTTAACATGAGTAGGAGAATGTGTAAAAAGAAAATATAAGAGAATATTTAATTTCTCTTCTTATAGTCATTGATATCTTTTTGTTTTCATTTTTCTTTAAGGATTTAATACTGTAAACAGTTTTGATTGTGTATACTCTATTTGTCACAACAATTTGGTTTATCTTCCGATTAATTCTTTTACCCTTCTGCACCTGATCTTTAAGTTCATATCGAGACACAAACTTATTCTCCGAAAACTCTTCGTAAGAATTCTACACTTTTATTTTGTTTTGCATTAGAATCATTCCTAATTTTCCTCACATTATATGTTGACGCTCTTAGCTTTGGTGTTATTGTGTTATGTTTACTTTCGAAGTTCCCACCATTTTCAATGCCAACATAGGAATGGTAAAGTACAAAATTCGTGGATGTTGATGCTTGAATATGAGAAGTAAATTATAGAGTATCCCATCCTTGTAACTAGGATGTGGATGATCGGACATAATAAATGTCACACTTATGCTCACTTACCAATCGGTCTAAAAGACTAACATAAAGGCTGATTTATGTTTAACAACTATATATCGTTTACCTTGCTAAAACAACATCATTTGTTATATTAATCTATCATGTATGTTAGTCTCAGTTGTGGTGTTAACCTCCGCTTTCAAACTCAATGGTAGCTTAGTGTTGCAACCTTAAAGTCGGGGCTCAGTCTAAAAGGGAAAGCCCAAACAACAGTTAAAGTATTATATGGATGGCTACTTATCTCCTTGCATATTCTAGATGATACTTATTGGTTTCAATAACTACTCCTATGTTATATACATGAAGGGATGACTTGAATGCAAACATGCTTTCCTTTTCTCACTTGTGCTCGTTTTTTCTTGGAGATCAATAGCAATAGTATAACATTATCCTACTACTGAAAACATCTATTTGCATATTTAGCCTAAATTATATTTTCGAGTACATATTTCTAACTACTTTGTTATGACTTACAAGCCCCTGGTAGCAAGATCACCAAGTGTTGTACATATCACAAGTTTTAACCTTATTAGAAGCAGTATTATAGGCAAGTCAAGTTGTATTAGAGGCAAGTCAAGTTTTGAACCTTCCAAGAAAGTAGTAACATGATGATATAATTACGTGTAGCTATTAGCAAGGTGTCAAGAGAGGATATGTGGGTTTGTAACCATTTTGCATTGAAAGATAAGTCCAAGCGACTCAAGTTGACGATAAATTAGCAACCTTAAATAGGTCCATTAGATGAGTTGTGTAATATCCCGTTTAAATTAGAATAATTAAATAATAAACCCGGAACCCCGAGAAGTAATTTTATTATTATTTTATATTATTATAGCCCAAAAATCAAATAATAATTAGCGGGGTGTTGGTTTCGGGAAGCCAAATGACAAGAATTGAACCTCCGGGGGTTAAAGTGTAAGTTTGGGACTTATTTTGTAAGGATTTTAGAAGGCAGGGTGTAATTGGTAACTTTTAGACTCATTCTGGAAGGATTTATGGGAACTGGGGTATAAAGGGTAAATTACGGACTTCATTTGAAAACAATTTTGTAGAGGAGGGGCCATTTGGTAACATTTGGACTTGAGTTGTAAGAAAAGAATAGAATGAGGGACTATTTGCGTCATTATGGGGCGATCTTTATATGGAACGGGTATATAACCTAAAACTCATCACCCTCTAAACCCTAACCCTAATCGGATGTTCAGCCGCCACCCTCACCTCACTTCCCTCCAGCCGCCACTCCCATTGCTGCTGTGTCCGGCTGTCGCCTCCTAGCCCAACCGGTGCCGCCCATCGAAGCCTATCGTCGTGCAACCACGACAGAGATGAAGAGTCACATGTGACGTCGGTTCGGTGGGTCGCCGGACCGTTTAGTTCCGCCACTGTCGTTTCCAGCGACGTCGTCGCTCCAATCGCCAACGAGGGCCACCGGGAAGGAGCCAATGAAGACCGCCGACGAAGCTGTGAAAGTCCGCTGCTACCCCTCTCCTATTACCTTCTTCTTCTTCCTCTGTTCGTCGGTATCCCGAAATGGCCGTTAAGAAGCTACGCCGACCACCGTTGCTGTCATTGTGGCTCGCCGCCGCCGCAAGCGCCGCTGTTGTCCGCCATTCTGTGTCGTTGCCGCCGCTCAGAACGGTCGCCAAGGGTTGCTGCCAATCACTAGGACCGTCGCATGCCGTCGTGAAGAGAGACTGCATTCGTGACTCACAAGCCGAGAGTCTGGGTGTATTCTGTTGTAGTGTGTGTGTTGTGTGTGTGGTTTGTTTGGCCGGAAAACCGAGAACAACCACCACCACCACCGTGAGGTGGTGGCTGCCACCTCCAACCACCGCCTGCCGCCACAAGGGTGACTGGGTGTGTGTGTGTGTGTATGTGTTCTTGTGTGTGTGTTTATTTTGATATCGTGTTGTAACATTGTAATCAATCGGAATAGTAAGGAAAATCTGTCACCACCACTGTTAGGTGGTGGCTACCGCCGTGAGCCGCCATTGACCACCACTACCCGAGGTGGTAGTGGGTGGTGCCTGACTTGTTTAACCCTAATGGGCCCAATGAAGCCCTAATTGACCTAAAAGCCCAATCATGTTACTAATGGGCTAGTATTTGGGTTGGAAAACCCTAATGTCATGAAACCCTAATTTTGGGGATTTATCGGGACCCGCATTTGAATTAATTACTAAATTGAAAATGTTAATTAATAATCATTTGCAAATTAACCTAAGGCAATATTGGACTTAATGGATTAAGTCCTTCATGGGTTAAGTAGGAACACTTAACCCTAATCGTCATTTCATGTGAAAACCCTAATTTCAGATGGGCCTTTCTATTGGGCTTTGGTGATTGGGATATTGATGGGCTAACCAAGAACAAATAAATAGACCAAAGTAATTGGATGGGATTTAGAATAAGGCCCATGTTAAGGACTTGGGCCCAATTTGGAAAATTGGGCCATAGATGAGCCATATTTGGGCCTTTATGATTATGTAATATTGGGCCATGGGAATACCAAGAGTTTGGACTAGAATAATTGGATGGGCCTTAAGGAAAGACCATGTAGAGGTTTGGGCCCAATTTGTAAAATTGGGCCATATGTTGGGCTTTGGCCCATTACTTGACTTTTGGGCCTTTGGAGTGTGAGTCGGACCTTAGGCTTAGTACCCAATTATTAATTGGGTGTTGTTTGATGTTGACAGCTTGGGAATCTGTCAACCAGCAGCTGGAGTTTTATCTGCAGTTCTTCAGCAGTGTGATGTGAGTTTCCCTCACTATACTCAAGGGTCTAAGGCACCAAGGTCGGCCCTTTTGGATTGTTATCCTGATATGTTATGCTAGTATGATATGTTAGATCAGTATCCTGGTAGATAGGATGATATTATGCTATTATGATATGTTAGAACAGTATCCTGGTAGATAGGATGGTATTATGTTATTGTGATCTGTTAGATCAGTATCCTGGTAGATAGGATGTTATTATGTTGTTATGATCCTTTAGATCGGTTTTGTCTATCTATAGACTGTTATGTGACTATCTGTTATATGTGCACATGTTTGATTGGTGGTTGAGGTCATCGGCTTTGTACGAGAGTCAACAGACCTAGGGATTCCAACCCGATGGTTGTGGGCCGTGAGTATTCCATCCCGAGGATGATTCGACTCATATTGTGTGGGCATTCCAACCCGATGGTTGCGGGCCGTGAGTATTCCATCCCGAGGATGATTGGACTCATATTGTGTGGGCATTCCAACCCGATGATTGTGGGCCGTAAGTATTCCATCGTGAGGATGATTGGACTCATATTGTGTGGGCATTCCAACCCGATGGTTGTGGGCCGTGAGTATTCCATCCCGAGGATGATTGGACTCATGTTGTGTGGGCATTCCAACCTGATGGTTGTGGGGCGTGAGTATTCCATCCCGAAGATGATTGGACTCATATTGTGTGGGCATTCCAACCCGATGGTTGTGGGCCGTGAGTATTCCATCCCGGGGATGATTGGATTCATAGTGTGTGGCATTCCAACCCGATGGTTGTGGGCCAAGGGTATACCATCCCGAGGATGACTGGACCCAAAGTATGTTGGCATTCCAACCCGATGGTTGAGGGCCTGGGGTATTCCAACCTGATTGTTGATTGGACCCATAGTATGCTGTTTGTGATTATATGTGTATTATTGTGTGTATGGGTATTTTGGGGGAACTCACTAAGCTTTGTGCTTATGTGTAACACTGTAAATTTTCAAACCAAATTTTCATTTTTAAAAAAACATAACACTCATGTATTGTATTTCATAAAACCACAAGTGTCTCAAAATGTCAACATAAATCCACAAATAAAGTCAAATCCCAGAATCCTCAACTGTAACGCCCGTAGATCTAGGTTAGTCAATTTAAAGATAATAGGGGGTCAAAAATGACTTTTCTATAAAAAAAAGTATTTAGAATAAATAATCTTAACCAAGTTGTGGAATATGTCTCAAGGGTTCCGTACGTATAAAGAACGCCGAAATCCGAGTTATAGCGAAGAAGTTATGGCCCGTCGAAGTTTTACGGCAAAACCGGCACGGCACCGGGAAACGTAAATAGTGAATTTACGATAGAGGACTTTTTAGCCTTAGTGATCTAAACAAAAGTTGTAGTA